GGAAAACATGACTAGAATATAAATAGATAAAATCATAGGACAATTGTAGCACACTTGAAAATATAAGGCGAACTGTTGTCCTCTGAAAAGATCTACTGCACAATGCAGATGTAGGGCACAAGGTATATTCATAAGCTTAATTCACAGTTAAGCTGTTATCATGTGTCACAGCATTTCTAATCCAGAGTACTGAACTAGAAGGGCAGGTTGCCTACTTGTAACTATCATTTGAGTGCTCATCTGTGCATTCACACATATGGACTCTGTCCCTGCATAAAGCCTATGTTTGGAAAATGTTTATAGTTGAGAGATTTTTGGCAGGAAACTCTCCCCATCCCTTGACACTAGCATATTAGAGGGGTTCCCACCTATTCCTTCAGTTCATTTAAGACCAACAATGTTGCCCTGGAACCAACAGACCAACATCAACATTAGTCAAAACTAGTTTCTGAACATCAAGAAACTATGTTACTACATGATATGCATGTAGGTGGGTTGCGTGAAACCAGACGACCACACAAGCAACCTGACTTCCTTCTTCATGGTCTCTCCGTATCACATATATGGGTGACTAGCAAGCCTATCTTCCTGGGGGGTGGGGGTTGGTGTCATTAGCAGAGAACCAAACAGAGGACTGCTCTCCCAAAAGCTCAGTCTGCTCTACCATTGCCATCAAGCCTATAGTGCTTCACAAAGGTAAATGAAATAGAGCAGGTTAATATTTTGCAGCAGTCTGATAGAAGAATTCCTGCATGCAGAGCAATGGAAATAGACATTTCTCGATTCGAGTTAGTCTGCAACAGCCCCAAGCCCTGTTAGCTAACAAGCTCACAAGTCATGGAGATAGTCTGTCACCCAGGTTGCTAGTCTCTGGGAGGACACAGGGAGTCCTTTATTTTTTGCCACCAAAACAAATAAAAAGTTTTTGTGACCAGCAGAATGACTCAGTCCTGGAATGGCAAAATGCCAGCGCTTGACAAATGTCCTAGTGCTAATTCCATCAGATTTAAGGAAGAAGCAAAACAAGGTCAGCAATAAAATGTTCTGGTTGATATGACAATTGCAGACAATCTCAAGGTGAAAAGAAGGATCCAGACACAACACCACTTTATCGATGAAAGACCAGACATGAAAGGTCCACCTTGAGAGTAGATGTTACAGAAGTGGTGGGCTGAAATAACCACCACCAGGAAAACAAACTTCCACAACAGCAGATTGAGCTTGATTATCACCCTGGGTTCCAACAGTTTCATTGCAAGGGCTTGCAAAACAACAGACTCCAATAAGGTGTTAGAAAACATGTTGGCAAAGCAATGTTCTTAAGCCCCTGAAGAAAAAGTTGAAACAGAGAGTGAGAGAAAACTGATAAACCCTAGACTGGTATATATGGAAGGCTGAAATTACTGCCAAGACAGCTGGATGATGTCTTCAGCCCCCACTGAAACAGAGAATGGAAGAACAGGAGGACTTTCGTGCATCAATACAGCTCAAAGTTTTCCATTTTTCATTGTAGGAACTTTTAGTAGAAGACTTCAGCACCACATCTGATATCAAGTGCAGTCCTTCAGGAAGACTGGTAAGCTCCATATACAGGGGAGGATTCTCCAGGCCATGAGATGCAAGGTACATACATCAAGGTGCACTACTTTCCCCCGATCCAGAGATTAGGTCAGGTCTAACCTAAAGCTGAACTGACATCCAGAACAGTTGGGTGAGCCATGATTGTCTGAACCACCACAGCATAATGCAGTCTGTTGGGTCCTAAAGAACCTTCGCTAACACGCTCATGATGACAGAAGAGGTGGGGAGGGGAGAGATAAAACTATGTCCCTGACTAGGTCAAGAGGAAAGCATCTCCCCAACAGTCTTTGTTCACTCTTCCCCATGAGCAAAAGCCCAAACATACATTGTTCTGTGTGACAAAAAGATCAATTTGAGGCATCCCCTACATCAAAGAGCCCATTCCCAGTATGTAAGTGTTCAGCTGCTATTGTGGAATTCAAGATTTGTGGTGCTGATCATGTAAGCCAGAGTGTGTCAGTGCTAACAATGTGGATAGCCATAACAGAAGTACCCGTTACCACAGCAATTCCACATCTTGATGGCAAACTGGGCCAGGGGATAGATCAGGTGTCTGTTTGTTGATAAAGAAGACCACAGTAATGTTGTGTGTGACAAGCTGGACATAACAATGAGAAAGGAACATTTGAAACTCCGCAAAAGCGTTCTTCACAGCAAGCATTTCCAGATTATTTATGTGCTTGCAGACTTCAAACATATTGCATGTCCCTTGAATAAACTCCCATGGTCACTGTGAATGCTGGTTTGTGGGGAGCAAAGGGAATCTCCTTGGCGAGACTGTAGCAATGTGTCCACCATTGGAGGTTCAATGAATTCTGGGATGTGCAGATGAGTTCATTGAGGATTGTTCAGGGGATGCTATGTTTGAACATATCATAACTGGAGAGGTTGCATCCAGAGCCTGCCTAAAGGCATGACCACAACCATGCTGCCATGAAACTGAGAAGCCACTAGATCTGGAAAGAAGCAACAACAGGGTGCCTATATAATCCGTTAGCTGTCTTGATCAGGACCAACACTCTGGGTTCTAGGAGATATGCTTACACTCAGTTTGAGTCAAGGTGAGCCCCAATGAAGGTGATAGATCGAGTGGGGTAAGGAACCATTTGCAGAAAGCCCCAGCTTGTCCAATAAAGTACAGGCAGTTTTGAAGGAGTAAAGCTAGTCTCATTTAAATGATGCCAGTCATTGGCCACTCATCTAGGTAGGGGCAAACCTTGACCCTTTGCACAGACTCCCCGCATGTACTCAGTGAAGATCCTTGGGGCTGCGAACAACCTGGACAGTAAAATGGAAAACTGAAAGGCCCTGCTTCCTACATGGAAAAGTAGTAAATGCCTATATGAGTCCTCTATGGAGATGTGGAAGAAAGTGTCCTTCAAGGCAAACAAATCTCCTTCATGCAGCAAGGGTAGAATGTTCTGCCAGTGACCAAACGGAATTTCCTCAGTGTGACAAAGTCGATATTCCAGAGATCCAGCATTGGTCGAAGCCCTATATCCTGTTTACCCTGTACTGTAAAGTATCTGGAGTAGAAGGCTTGCTGCGTTTAAGAAGAGACCCTGTCTATAGCTCCCTTTGAAATCATTGAGTCTGCCTCCATAATGAAGGCTATAGGTAGATTAGTATTCCTTATGATATCAAGGGGTAGAAGGGCATCAAACTCAATTCTGGATCTCTGTTCCACAATAGACAGGATCCAGGCATCCAGTGTTATTGTCTCCTATGTGGGAAAGAGGTGTCTGTCAAAAAACAGGATAAGGAGGCCAGCCCAAGAGATAGCCACAGCTGACTAGGAACACCGGTGCCAATCCACACTTTGGATTGATAATTCACATTTGGATAATAATTCTAGTGATTCTTTTCTGTACATTTATTGAAGTCTACAGTATGCTTTTTGAGGTACAGTGATTAGACCTGTTCCAAGTATTGCAGGTATACCCACACCACTAATGGATATAAGGAGAGTTCAATCTTGCCAGTTTTATTTTCAGTTCCTTTTCTAAGTATGCACAACATGGAATTTGCATTTTTCACCAAAGGTGCACACTGGGTTAATACTTTGATTGGTGTCTACTACAACCACAAGAATCTCTTTTGTGGTCAATCACTGCTAGCACAGATCCCATGAGTATATACGTGAGGTTGTGGGGCTTGTCTAGCACTTTCTTATACCGAACCATATTTGCCATTTCCATGCACATTCTCGCAGTCTGTCTCTGAGCTTGTTGCAAGGCATTTTTGTTTCAATTATCCTAAATAATTTGGTATCATCAAACTTGGCTGATCTAGAAACAAGTTAAAGAGCACCAGCTCCAGTACAGATCATTGGATGCTCCACTATTTATGTCCCTCCTTTTTAAGAACTTACCATTTATAATTACTCTCTACTTTGTTTTTTAACCAGGTACTTTAAAGGGACATGCCCTTTTATTCCATGACTGCTAAATTTGCTAGGCAACACACTAGGGATCCCAGGTCCACAGGGCCCAGTAAGGAGTTTTGATGTACTTGTCATCCAAGCTTCACATGAACTTGGAACAGGAAATCAAGAACACTCTTAGTAAACATAAACACTTCAAGTTAATAAGCTATAGTAGAAAAGAGAAGCTACCTCAGGAGCTTTTAAATGGTAAAACAGGTATGGATTTTTTAAAAAATGCACTGCTTTTTCAGTCTCAAGTAAATGACATATGGGCTTTTTACAGATTAGCATAATCACCTGCATACTTAGCTTACACCTGCAGAAACAGGCAACCAAAACAACCAGCAGGCTGGAGCACCATCCCCACAAGGAAAGGGCAAAATTCATGCAACTTATCGGTTTAGGAAACAAAAACAAGCCCAAGCCTTATGCATAGTATGGTTAAAGTGAGATGAGTCAAGTTTTTTCCTATTTCTAATAATACTAGAACTTGGGGATCCTCCTATAAAACTGATACATAAGAAATTCAGAAAATACAGCATTAAGTACATGCAGCCTATCATGAAATTACAGAATTTTCTGCCACAGGATGTAGCCATGGTCTTAGATGGTTTAAACAGGAAATTCCAAATTCATGAAGGATAAATGTACTAAGATATCCAGAGGTATCTGGTTACACAGATGGATGGACATTTTATATAACACACCAGGCCTCTTACATGCTTATGTAAAAATCACAAGAGAGGAGAAAATATCTGCTGTTGCATAATTAAAACTAATAGTGTTACTGTGCTATGAATCCATGAAACCATTTCTACAGGAAGCAGTTTAACTTCGAGATGTTTAAAATTCTTAAAATTCATCTCAATTTTCTTTGCAGGCTTTAAAAGAAGACTCTTAGGCAAGGTTTTGGTGACCACTGTGAATACTGAGATTAACCACCAACACATTTTGTTCTGAAGTCCGCAAATTAAAAGAAATGTGCTCAGTTTACCCCAAGATTCCAACTGTTGAGACGAGCTTCAAGGTCACTGTCATCAAAAGAAATCTTTTTTGTATGGTGATCTTCCTGGAATATTCAATTTTCATATGTAAAAACAGTACAGACAGATAAACAGCAAAGTTAAGTTTTTAACAGGAAAAATATTTTTTACCTACATATTGTGCTGTTTTGCTAAATTCAGGGCAAGTAGGTTCTCAAACTGAAAATTCGGCAATCAAAATAATCAAATGTCCCAACATATTTTGGAAAGTTCAACCCTTCTTCGGGAAAATATTGGCTATTTATGCTCAATCCTCTCCTTGTATATTTGGAAGTAAATTTGTGCACCCTATTACACTGTTAATAGTTATTTGCTTATACTGTATAAAAGTTACTTAAAAGCTAGCATTATAGAGTACTTAGTCTCTCCTTTCTCCTCCCATTTGTCATAATAGGATATGCTGACACAAAATCATATAAATTATCCAAAATAGATTCTTTCAAAGGTCAATCACGGTTATGCAACCAAAATGTTGCACATTGGCATTCTGAATAGTTTGCCAATATAAAAGCCATTCACTTGCCAGTCTCCAGTGAGAGCAAGTGTGGTTAAGAGTGCTGGACTGGAACTCTGGATGGGATCTGGATTATAGCTCACATTCAGTCATGGCACTCACTCGGTGACTCTGGGCCTGTCACAGAGTCTCACCCAAACCTACTTTGCAGGGTTATGAGGATAAGACTGCGAGGAAGAGAATTATTAAGCTGCCTTGAGTTCCTTAGAAGGAAAAATGATAGAATATACTAAATAAATAAATACAGTGAGCTGTAAATTAGTTCATATGATATACATAAAACAAGCACTTGCCTAATTTCTCATGTGTGAGGTTCCTGAGTATAAGCATGAGGAGCAATGATTCTTAAACAAATATAACCTTATATTCAAAGCATATGATCTTACCAGCATCTTTGATGAGAAGTTTGCACCTTCTGACAGATGAGGTGGACTCATAGAACGCGACTTTACTGCTAGTTTTCCATTGTATGCACAGTGTTCCCTGTTGGAACAAAAAATAAATCAAAACCAATTGAAAAGCTTGTGCAACCTTAAAAAAACCAATGAACACTTATTTATTTCTATCTCTACCTTGTCTTTCCACCTGAATAATACTCAAGCTACATAAAATTTAGAAAAGCAAAAAAAACTATAACCTGGTAAAGAAATTACAAATAATAAAAATAGATGACAACGGAATAATAAAAACAGCAGTTGTGGACATCTGAACCTCCAGGGAGTGTAATTTTCTGAGCAGATGATTTTCTATAATACTTAATATTTCTAAATATTTGCTTCCAAGAATTGTGATGGCATCATAACAGAAAATCCCACAACATCCACAGCTTCCACTTCACAAGAAAGAATATTGTTTAAAGCCTTTCCTGCTGATCAAAATATGGGAAATGAGAGCTTTCATGGAACTTTACAGAGGGTTAAACTCACATTTCAACATCCCCAAGGAAAATATGCACTATTAAATTGCAACTGAAACCTTTAGATAGACTGACTTTAAAAACACATGCCATCCCCAAGACAGCCAACATACTGTATAAAATATGTTGCATAAAACAGAGATAGAAGCACAACAAAGAGGTAAGAGCAACATTAACAAGAAAAATACACTATTTTGTTCAAAGTTCATGAACACTACTTGGCAGTACAAGATACTCAATCCCATAGTATTCAATGGCTAGGTACACATGTCATGAGAAGCAAATCTGCATGGTTACCAGAGTTAATGGATTTTTTTCGGCAACGTGTCTAACAGATGATCAAGTAGTTTCTATGCTAACAGGGTTTCCATCTTACCACTCAGTCCTCCCACTCTTGGCATGTATCCCATCAACCACCATGCCTGAAATTCAATCCCATGCTGCATCCTATTGCCTACCTTTTCCTTACTGGCCTGCACAGTTCCCCGGGCATGTTGTCACCCCGTTGCTTCTTCCCCATCCCATACGCCTCAACCAACAGCTATTCAAAAACGGGGATGCCCACAGAAATCATTTTTCTGCCATAGCTCTTCCTCACATCAAAATATCTTTACCTACTCTCCCTCCTTCTCCTGTACTTTTCCTTCACTCAAGAGTGACCAAGGCTTCACTTTGCAAAGGGAAACAGGAGACTTATTAGATCCCCCATCCCATGCACTTACTCCCACAGAGAGCATGTGTACAGGCAGGCTTTGCTCTCTGCCTCTCCTGCTATGCCTGGAATGAGCATCTCCTTGCTTGTGCCACCATGGTGCGAAGCTTCTCTCCCTTCAGGATAAGGCATTAAGGATTATCTGGCTGACAGTCAAGTTAGCACCCCCAGCTCCAGCACCCTTAAATTGCCATCATCCCATCCACTTCCCCCTCTCCCATTACTGGCCCTGCTTCAAGAAGCTTTGGGAAGTACTAATATCCACTCGTGCTCGCCTCTCAACTCAGCAGCTCTGCTTGCAAACCATCTCGTCCCTCCCCCTTCCCTTTCCTCGCAGTGTACAGGAAAAGGTGTATTTATATAGAAAATACCATTTATCAGGTCTCAGATATACCTATTGAGGTCTTCTGCTGGCACACAAGCTCTGCTTCCTGAAAACTGGGCACAGAATCTACACCCCCTACCCCTCCCAGCATCATCCCACACCCTACCTTGCATCCACTTGCTGGACATACACCTGCTACTTCTGCACACACTGTGCTTGATGCTCCCTGTTCCACAGCAGCACATCAATTCACCTGTACATCTATACGCCACAGCTTGCATGCAGCGAGGCATTAAGAACATTGAGAGCTACCTTCAGGACTACTTTGCAAAAAACACACCCATATCCACTCCCCACCCCGTCTCTCTGAAGAACCAGGAAGTCCTGATAGACCACTCTGTCATGGCAAGAACAGTTATGCCACAATAGAGGCTTAGGACTAGCACTGTTATTTCCAAGGCTGGTTCTCCCAGAACCAGTAAGAAATATGTTACGCCAGGCAGCAGTGGGTTAGGGGAGTTTAAAAGTTGGGGAAACGGTTAGGGCCATTGTTAATAACCACAATTTCATTCTCAACACCTGGCCCAGGCAGCTCTGGGTTCATCTCCAGCAACATGTCTCCAAAAACATGAGCAGAATGTAACACCATGGCACCCAACCCCCCGCCCTGACACAGGTAGCCTTCAAAATGGGCAGAGGATTCAGGGCCTCCAGAGGGAAAACTGTTCTTATGTTGGTGGCTCCTTCTCACTAGAATGCATTTCTGAAATGGCATGAAATGCAATGGCATACATGACTGGATGCAAACTGGCAGCCTCCATTTAAAACTCTCCTCCCCTTCCTACTCAAGTTTTGTTATGCTGTTGCTGCACCCAGAGAACCGTGTGAAGGGGAAGAAGTGGGGAAGGGCAGAGTAGTTGGAGAGAGATGTAGAAGCTTCCCAGGTGCCTTGTCTCCTAAAATGCAGGGAGGGGAAGCGAGTTGCCACAGACAAATGCACAGTATGTGGTAAGAAACAGCAAGCTCCCTGTACTGCACATGGTGCTGCAGCCTTTACACAGTGAGCCTGCTGCACGTCCAGGCAGCAGAAGGCAGGCATACACAGTAGCCATAGCAACAGAGCCAATGCTGTCTCTGGAAGGAGTGCACCCTGCTCTGCCAAGACTGTCAGTCTTCCTGCCATACCTCTGCTTTCAGAAACCTCTGCTGAAAAAGGCATACTGGAGCATCCACAAGGAAAGGGTGGGGAAGAGGGGAGAGGAAAAGAGCAAATGACACCAAAGTTGATCATGGCAAGCTTGGTACGAGACTGGCAACGTTCAAAAATCGCCCCTACTGGGCTCCTGAGGCTCATCTACCCTTACATGGTCCACATGCCAATTCATGTTTAAGTCTTCAGATTCTTCCTCTATGGTGAAAGACGAGGGCTCAACACTCATCTCCCTCCACTGCTAGGAACAATGAGAGAGAGACTGCCCACCCCCTTGCTAGCCACGTTAACCTAAAGAAGGCTAGATTGTTACAAATCCTCTAGGTGGAATGGCCTTGTTGCACACTGCAGACAATTGCCACTTTATGCTGCCAAAGAAGATATAACACAGAGAGGAATAGGAATGCAGGTTAGGGTAAGAGGTGGCCGTCTAGAGAGAAGTGGAGAAGTATGAGGGGAATGGGAAGGGATAGAAGCCTGGCTCAGTGAGACAAGTCCATGGCTTGTCATGTCATACAAACCCACCCAAGAAGTAGTTTGAGTATGCTACTTAAAAATAAACAAAGACTGCTGGAATGTGGTCCTTTCTATCTATCATTTTAGTTTTCTTAGAATTACTGGCAGAATTTCTATCAATAGTTTGCTCCTCCCAAAAAGTGTATTTAACATTTGTGCTTTTTTAAAATGAGTGGGGTCTTTTAAAAATGCAAAACACATTTGGCTAGACAGTCATTACTTCAGAATAATGTACTAGCTACATAACAAACTTCTTGCTAAAAAAAAAAAAACTAACTTTTTTTTTAACAAACAGTGAAGAGCTGTAAAGATAGCAAGCAAACGTCCTATCTGGCTAAATAATAGATTAAAAAGAGCCAACACTGTTTAATATTTAATGTTTAATTTTTAAACATTCATTTTTCTTCTAATTGTTAAACAAATGATTAAAGTATATCAGAAACATACATGCTATCTCGTTATATCCTCAAATCACACTAATACAAAACAATGTTAGTTATAGAAATCATGTTTTTAAAGTTATTCAACTAGGCTTCCAATTAGAATTTCATTCTGTTAAGATGGCTGCACAACAGCCAGGATTTTATTGCATTTTAAACTGGAAGTATAATACTTTAACTATTTAACAATACACATGGAACAACCATTTTCAAATGGTGGACTGGAAAAAACCACTATGTAATGAGGACCTTCATAATGGTGTTAGCAATGGCTAGCAAAGACAAAAGGAATAAGATCTTCTTGTGAGTTGGGGTAATATAATAAAAGGACTTGCAAAACTAATCAAAGATAAAGCAAAGCAAAATTGAATTCAGTTTGGAAAAATACTTAATGAGATTTGTGCGCTCAAGTTACTTATATGTTAAGAAACAGGCATTAAGCAGAAAGTTTGTGAGCTGAGAAAATAGTGGTTTATATGCCAATCTACGCACTAGGAGAATCTGAACATAGAATTCCCTTGCCATGCTTAAGGTCAACTCAGACACAGCCAGAATGCTCCAATGGAGACTCCCCTTGATATGCATATAGAAGCCTCAAATACAACATTTGCTGGTAGCGGGGCAGAGTGAGCATTAAACTCCTGCTCTATTAAGCAGAGAACTCCACTCTGTTAAGGGTGGCTTAGTAATCAAGACAAGCACAGCAGCACTCTTACTTTTTCACTTTCATGGTGGTTCTTACTTTTCCCCCTTAACATGCCTGGGGTGCTGGAGAAGTCTCCTGCGAGTCCCTTGGACTGCAAGGAGATCAAACCAGTCAGTCCTAGAGGAGATCAACCCTGACTGCTCTTTAGAAGGCCAGATACTGAAGATGAAACTCAAATACTCTGGCCATCTAATGAGAAGGAAGGACTCCCTGGAGAAGAGCCTAATGCTGGGAACAATTAATGGCAAAAGAAGAAGGGGGCAGCGGAGGTGACTAGATGGAGTCACTGAAACCATTGGTGTGAGCTTAGGTGGACTCCAGGGGATAGTGGAGGATAGGAGAGCCTGGAGGAATGTTCTCCATCGGGTTGCGATGGGTCGGGCATGACTTCGCACATAACATAACTGCTGTAATGGGCATGGAGCAGATGCAGCTGTTGGCCTGTCATGCTCCCACACCAGAGCATAACATCACTCCAAATGAAGCATTCGGTAAACATAGAAGACTGTCTGATTGCTGGCTATCACAGTTCCACATGTGCTTAAAACAGTGGGGAAGGTACTGCCCCAACAGGTTGGATGCTGTCATTTTAATTTGGGGAGAAGGTGCTGCCTGGGTGCGTTTGTGTGGTACAGTATGGGTCCAAGGATGGTCTCTG